GGCCACCACAGCCTCGGCCTGCTGGGCTCAGGCAATCCTTCTGCCTCAGACTTCCAAGTAGCTGGTTCTACAGGCATGCGCCACCACACCTGGCTAATTTTTTGATTTATTGTAGAGACGAGGGCTCACCAAGTCACCCAGGCTAGTCCTAGATTCAAGCAGTCCTACCACCTCGACCTCCCAAAGTGCTGGAATTACAGGCATGAGCCACTGTGCCCAACCAGATGTGATTTAAATGGATATTTTGTGAAAGGTTAATAAGAGATCGTAAACCCAAAAGACACAGGAGGATGTACCACGAACAGTCTCCCTCCCAAGCCTACCATCAGATGGGATAACTTGCCCTGTTGTTCAAATGTGGGCTATTTCCCTAGATGCTCCGGCACCCGCCCTGCTGTTCTGGACCCTCTTGGGAACCCTCAGGCCCTCCAGATCCAGCAGCTAGAGGCCAGGCACAGGTCGTGATCCAGCTTTCCAGATGGGAGAGTCCCCTGCCATGCTGATTGTTAATTTTTTTTTTTTTTTTGAGTGGGAGTCTCACTCTATTTCCCAGGTTGGAGTGCAGTGGCAGGATCACAGCTCACTGCAGCCCAGACCTTCTGGGCTCAGGCGATCCCTTATAGCTAGGACTACAGGCGGGCACCACCATGCCCAGCTAATTTTTAATTTTTTTGGTAGAGATGAGGTCTTGCTGTGTTGCCCAGGCTGGTCTTAACTCCTGGGTTCAAGCAATTCCCTTGCCTCAGTCTCCCAAAGTGCTGGAATTGCATATGTGAGCTACCATACCCTGCCAGGTTATCAAATATTTTGCATAAGCACCTCTGCCTGACCCCAGCCACCCAGTTCTCTAAGAAGCACCCTGAGTGTGTGTCCGTGTGTCTCTCATGCTTTTCTTGCACCTTGTTCTCTGCTTCTGTCTCTTGCTACTGCCCTCTTGTCTGTCCTTGCACTAATCAAGCAAAGACATTTATTAAGCATCTACTGTGTGCCAGACAGTAGATTATTCCAAGCCTTGAACAAAACAGCACCCTGCCCCCCCCCCAAAAGGCCCAGCTCTCATGGAGGGTCCTGTCTAGAGCCTCTTCCAGGCTCAATCTGTCTTTCTACCTGTCACTAAACTGTTTCTGCCCCTCCTGGTGACCCCAGCCCTCTCCTCTCTGACCCTCTGGCTCTCTCTAGCATGATCTAGGCTGAAAGAGGGCCCAGTGCTCCTCTTTCTGTCTTTCTGTCTCCTGATGGGAAACATACCTGGTCACTTTACTCCACTATTCACAGCCCCAAGACCTCAGCCTCTTTTCTGTCCAGGGCTCAGGCATCCTTTCCCCTAAATTTAGTCCCTTCCCCTAAATTCAGGGCTAAGGCAAGAGGTTTCTCAAGGAAACCTTTTTGGGAATTCTGGTCCTGAGGATGCAAACTCATCATTTAGTAACCCCGTCCAGGCCTGGACCCCCTTCCTTCCTTTGTTCCATGTTTCTCTTTTTTTCTGTCTTCCTTTTTTTTTTTGAGACAGGGTTTTGCTCTGTCACCGAGGCCGGAGTGCAGTGGTACAGTTACAGCTCACTGCAGCCTCAACCTCCTGGGCCCACATGATTTTCCTGCCTCCTGCCTCAGCCTCTTGAATAACTGGGACTATAGGTCCATGCCACCACGTCTGGCTAATTTTTTGGTTTTTTGTGGAGACAAGGCCTCGCTATGTTGCCCAGACTGGTCTCAAACTCCTGGGCTCAAACAATCCTCCCACCTCAGCCTCCCAAAGCGCTGGGATTACAGCCTGAGCCACCGTGCCCAGCCTGTTCCGCATTTCTTGAGCACCTGCTGCATGCCAAGCTCTGCAGAACAAGCAGGAGGAACCCCGGGGACTGTTCATTCCCTGATTCACTCCTTCATTCCTTTTCATTCACGAATTGCTCCTTTCACTCTATTGCTTGTTCACTTATTCTTCAGTTAATGAAACGTGCTGAGTCTGCACTCTGTTCCCCGTGTAGGGCGATGTTGGGCACACAGCTGTGACCAAGACAGAACGTGATTCCTGCCTCTCAGAGTTCACACGTTCTCTAACAAGGAAGGCCCAGAATGGTCGGGGCTGGATGGAGGAAGCCCAAACAGATGGGGCAGGGCCTGGATTGGGGATTTGCAGGGGGCTGTGGGAGAGGGGTGTCTGCCCCAGGATCATGTTGGGTGAGGTGGGGACACAGCAGGAATTGAGACAGACCAATCTCTGCACCCCTCCGCCTCTCCATTTACTTGTCTAGGGACACATTTTCTACCCTGTGGGAGGGTGAGAGGGTTTTCCACACCCACAAGGGGCCAGGACCACACAGAACTGGGGGAGTGGAGCCCTGGGGTCAGACAGGGCCAGGTCCTCATCCTGGTTCCACCCTTCAACCTTTGAGATTCAGGGTGAGTCACTTTGTCTCTCTGGGTTTCACCTTGCCTGGAACTTCACCTGGAACCTGTGTAGAGGTGCTGTTCTTATCTGAATTTCGCATAGGAGACTCAGAGAGAGGGACTGACTTACCCAAGGTCATGGCCAGGAAGTGACACAGCCAGGATTTGAACTCTATTATTTGTTCACCCTCACAGAGAGGAGAGATTTTGAGAGGAGAAATTTTCCTCAAGCCCAGGACTGATGCTTGACAGTTTGGCTGGTGAAGGCCTGGAAGGATTGATTTCAACTCAGTTTCAGAGGCATTTCCTATTTCCTGGCTCTTAAACTGAGTCTGGGCAGGAGGCAGGTGGGAGGCAGTTAGTGCTGCTTTGCTCGTGCCAGACCCTTCCTGTTCCTTCTCTGCCTCTGGCTTTCTCTGGAACTGTCTCCCACAGGCTCTTTCTGCCTGTGTCCATCTATTTCTGTGTCTCTGTATCGTGTTCTCTCTCCCTCGCTCTGTCTTTCTCTCTCTCCATCTGCATCTCTTTAACCCTGTCATTTTTTCTGCTTCTCTGTCTTTCCCAGACACTTTACTTTCGTTTCTCCTATCTCTCTCTGTCTTTTGCATCCATCCATCCATCCACTCATTCATTCAACAAAAATGTCTCAAGCATGTACTGTGTGCTAGGCCCTTTTTCTAGGCATTTGGGATACAGCTGTGAAGAAAACAGACAAAAATCTCTGGCCTCGTGCAAATGATATCCCTGTGTGGGAGACAAACAAATGAGTAACATACACAGTGTATTAGATCATATTAAGTGCTAAGGAAAAAAAGGAGAGAAAGCCAGAAAGTGTTGGGGAGTGGTCGGGAGGGACCTCACTAACAAGAGTAGATGTTGGAGGAACGATCATCCCAGGCAAAGGAAATAGCCAGTGCCAAAGCCCTGAGGCTTGTTCAGGGCACAGCAAGGAGGCCAGTATGGTTGTCGAAGAGTGAGGGGTAAGAGTGGGAGGAGAAAGAGTTTGGAAAGGAGGGGGCAGGGACAGTGTATAGGATTTGGAGGGTCAAAAAGGACTCTGAGGGAGACCCTGGGAAGACAGTCTCATTCTGTCTCTGGCAGGAGACCAGTAGTGAAAGGACAGGCTTGCATGAGTACCCAACGTGGGGTGCCCAGCCCCTCTACCAGCCTTTTGGGCAATTTGCCCTGCACTGCCAGCAAGTTGCCAGGCTGCCTGGGGCTGCAATCCCAGCTGGCTTCAGGGTGGCAGGGCCTGGATCCAGCCTGGCCAGTTCACTTAGACTTGGGGCCTGGCCCTCCCTGCCGTGTGCCCACGTCAGCCTGCCTGTGGCTCTGCTGCCATCTTTCCCCACACCCTGCCCTCTTCCCTCTGTCCTACTTGGTGGCCCTCTTTGTCAGGTTGTGTCTTTTCCTGTTGGCATCTTGCTACTTCTCTGCCTGTTCCTCGTTGGGCTGTCCCTGCCCTTACTTCCTGTCACTTTCCCTCCCTGTGCCTCCTCCTCTTTTTCCAGTCTACTGGTCTCTGGTTCTCTTTCTGTTTCTCTGGCTCCATCTCTACTCCATTTCTTTCCTCATCTCTTCTTAATTTTTCTCTCTGGTGTCTTTCTTTTTATTGGTCTCTCTCTGGGTCTGTTAACCATTCTCTTCGGAGGTCTTTATCTCTTTGTCTCTAGTCCTGTGTCTGTGTGGATGTGTGTGTCTCTGTTTACATCTTTCTCGAGGCCTTTGTCTCTTTCTGCCTGCATATGTCTCCCTCTCTTTATCTCTGGTGTCTTGCTTTCTCAGTTTTTTCTCTCTGGGTATCTCTTATTCTGTCTTTAGTTCTCTGTTATCTTTCTCTCTAGGCTCCTCTCTCTTCTGCTCTGTCTAAGTGTCTGTATCTCTTTCTCCAGAGGTGTGACACAGACACTTCCTCTGTCTCTTTCTCTGCCTTTTTCCATCCCTGGCTTTGCCCCACTAATGTTTCTTTGCCTGTCCCAGATGACCTCTTCCCCCATACCCACCTTGGTCTCTCCTCCTCTAGCTCTTACATATGCCCAGGCCCCTTAGACCTACCCAGCTCCTCATCCTCACAATCCTATTGCCAGCGCCGCCCCCCACCCCCCAGCCCTCTCCCCAGCTCCTGTCTCCCCCTCCTCAGGAGCCAAGAAAACCAGCTACGGGCCCAGCAGTGGATGCAGAAGCTATACGACCAGCTTGAGCTGCAGCACTTCCTCCGAGACTGCCAGGAGGTAGGACCTCCAGCTGTGCTGGGGTCGGAGATACCCCCTTTAGGGGAAAGGAAGTGCTCCTCGGCAGAGGTGGGGGCGGGGACGCCCCGTCGAAGTGGGTCGCGGAGCGATGCTCACCCCGCGCCGCCAGGGGGCGCGCGGAGGCCGGTCTCAGCGCGCATGCTCTGCAGGAGCCCGCCCACGCCGGCTTGGGGAAGGAGGGAGGGGCCCGGGCGCCCTGGCAACGGCGCGCATCCGCGCCTACGGGTCCCCCGGGGACGCGCGCTGGTCTCACCTTTCGCTCTGGAGATTTGTGAGAACCGCTCTACTGTGGGACGCGGGCGGAGCGGGGCGCAGGTACAAGGGTCGGGGCCGTGGGTGGACCAGCGGCCCGGAGTGCTCCTTCGTCTGACCTGGTCCAGAACCAGCCTTTGCCCCTTTAAAGAGCCAAGCCCCTGTCTCTTAGGGAGGCTCTGCTCACAAGTAGGGAATCTCCCCAAGTCAGAAATGGTCCAGGCCCCCTTCCTTACTGGGGGCGGCTCGGGAGACTCGGCGACTCCCCCTGCCCCTGCATTCCATAGAAACTGTCCTGGACCCTGGCCACATTGGAGATGGCCCGGTAAACATTTTTCTAAACCTCAGAGAGAGTCCTGGCTCCAAGCTCCTCCATCCGTGTGATCCAGGATGCCTCCCCACCTCATGATATGACCCAGGACCTAAGTTTCTTCCCACCGAAGACGGTCCAAGAGCCGGGTCCCTGCCCCGGCCTCTCCATACCCCCCACAACTGAGGCAGGCCAGGACTCCAGCCGTCGGCAGTGAGTCGGGGCACCCCCTGCTTCCCCTCGCCCGCGGTAGAGATGGTGAGAGATGTTCCAGATCCCCCTTCCCACGTACCCTGCCCCCGTCTGGTGGCCGGGAAGCCGAGCCTCTTTCCACTGGCGACGGTTCAGGAGACCCCCGCCCGCCCCCTCGCGACCCTCCCCACCCTCGCATCGCTGAGG